ATTTTCCATTTTTTCCATGGCTACATAATATACTATATATGGGGTTCCATGGTGCATAGATAATCATCTTCAGCAAGGGTTTTCTGATTCACATAGCCACCCTGCAGGAACTCTGACAATAAAACTAATCCTGCTGGTATTAATGGGAACAGAATTTTTATTGTCTATTTGAAAACAACTTGGTTCTACTTCTCATCAACACACATATTTGGTAAAATTAGCTGGATGACAAATCACTAAGGTAACATTTTTTCTTGCCTAAAATTTCACCCTTATTGTACTAGTGTAGGCAAATTGCCAGGCTAGGTCTAAAATCAGGATTTAGGCAATTTAACTTGAGACAAATATGTAATTATAATCCATACTATATAGTTGTGCCCAGAAATGTATTTATGCTTGCAAGGGTAATTTTGGGGGAGGGGTGTCTAAACAGTGCATATTGGGCCAAATTCTGATCTTCGCTACACTGTTGTAAATCCAGAGCAACTCCACTGAAATACAAGGATATTCAACAGAATTACTCTGGATTTACACCAATATAACTGAAATCAGAATCTGGCCCACAGCATCTTATTTGCTAACATCTCATTGTAGACTTTCACTCACAGCCATTTGTAAGGGTTACATTTTTTCACTTCAGCCATTTGCTTATTGTGCTGTAAGAGCCATGTCATGGTGGCAGCAGAATGAAAACATTGCCAAGAGATGGCTCACCTACAGAGGTGACCCGCTCTACAGCTGCATGTCTTGTGCTGAAGATCAGGTGTGTGGAAGAGTTGATGCCCTTAGTGTCTGGAGGGAGGATCGGGAGTAGCCGGGCATATCTTATATTTTTCACATATACATCGCAAACGTGTAATCTCTTCCTGAATTTTTATTTTAGATTAAGGGAAAATAAGAAAGAACAATAAAATGTACTCAGATGAGAGCACAGTATGGATCGTTCTTTAACATGCTGCCTCTAATGGAACACAAAAGGGCATTTGCATCCAGGAGATATTCTCCTGCTAGAAATACAAGTGCTGTACATAACTACCATCATAATGCATAGCTACATACCACTTTAAAGAATACAACACAAAATCTCCCTGCCACGTAGTCTAGAGAACTATAGCAGTTGAGGGAAGCACTGAAGAGACACTTGGTCCTGGGACAAGGGTACAAGGATACATGGGGATGACGATCAGCAATAAAATGAAGAGTTGGGTTACGCTTTTAGAGAGCAGGAAGTTTATTTTTAAAAAATGCATCAATAAACCATCCTGCTACGGTGTGATGTGTTACTGTAAAGCATTTGGTTATTTCAGTCAAGCCACACACCAAAAAAAAAAAAAAAAAAAAGGTTATGAAGGCAACTGTAATGTCCATCTGGGGCTCCAGTTTTACCACACTGTGATATGGGATGCTCAGGCACTGGGGCCAAGCTGGAAACTTTCATTAAACAAACCAGTGGAGACCACCCACCTCATACAACTGGAGGGAAAAAATTGACAGATGAACCTCATTGTTTTAGGCATATTCCCTGTCCCAGTCATGAGAGTACCACTAAGTTGGGCCTTTCACTGGGTTATGCTTTTCGCACGCTTAGCTGAAAGAAAGCTTGCTAAGAAGAGGAGGAGAGAGAAGAAGAAATTAATAGCAATCAGGCTCAGTTTGTGAACAATTATGAAACAGAAGAAAAGGCTAAAAGCCAGATTCTCTTTCATGGTCTGGAACTGCGGGGTTGGGAACTGGCTAGATCTCTCAAGCAAGGCTTTCTGCCAGTGGGAATGGTAAATTAGGACCACAGCTAGCTAGAGTCATCTGTCATCCAGGCCTGGCATAGGGGATTTATTAGAGGGTTGTGGCTGGAGCACCACTACAGTCCAGTTATTCTCAGCTGGTAGTTGGTCTCTTGGGGGCTATTGCCAATTTACAGTTTGGAAAAATGGGTGCAGCAGAGAATCTGGCCCTAAAGCGTCAATGAATAAAAAAGATACAATGAACAATGTGCTCCCTTTTACTAGCGCATTCATCATACACCTCTACCTCGCTGTAACGCTGTCCTCAGGAGCCAAAAAATCTTACCGCGTTATAGGTGAAACCGCGTTATATCGAACTTGATTTGATCCACCAGAGTGCGCAGCCCCACCCCCCCCGAGCACTGCTTTACCGCGTTATATCTGAATTCGTGTTATATCGGGTTGCGTTATATCGAGGTAGAGGTGTAGATTCATTCTGGGGGAGAGGATCAGAGGCGGATTATGGATTAGAGGGGCCCCTCCCTACCCATTCTGCCTGCAGTCCCCCCCCACCATCCCCCAACACCCCAGCACTCCTGCTGGGGAAATGGGTAAGGGCATTTGGGATTTACCTTTTCTGATAATAACATCACCACTTTTGATCTGTATACTGTGTATGAAGGGTGGTGAGGTTTTTTCCATCAGATAAGGAGGATTACCATTTTCACTGCTGTTTCATCTCACTCTCTCTAACATGTGCCTATGGAGCACAGCTAAAGCAAGGAGAGCTCTGACGCTTCCTCCTGTGGTCATTGGAGCATCAGCCACTGTAACCCAGAGAGGCCCAGAAGGGTGTATAGTAGTAGCTGTGTTAGTCAATGCGGTATTGCTAGGGGTGTAACGCAACAGCAAGCAGTGACAGGATTCAGTTTTGCCAATAAGAAAGACAAATTGTTCTTTTATAGTGAATCAGGGCAGTGACTTTCCTGGTCTTATATATTTAGGGCCAGATTAACTGAGCATGGCTCAGGGAGGCATAAACTATACCACCTTGCGCCAGATTGTTGTTTGTGTTGCAATAGTTTCTAAGCCCATAACCATAGATGGGGACTCCATTGTGCTAAGCACTGTACAAACATGTAACCAAAAGACAGTCCCTGCCTGCAGAGTTTACAAGCGAAGTCGAATGGCCCTTTGCTCTGCAGGGGGGAAGTCACTGTGCGGAAGTCCTGGCAGTACTGCCCTCCCCACCCTCGTTCAGTGCGGTGTGAATGGAAATGTACTTCCCTGTTCTACATGAAGAGAGAAAATACTGCTTCCCCCTCCTTCCCCTTGCAGTCCTGCACATGCCCCCTGCGGGGAAGTGTCTGAGGATTGCAATACTGTAATCACTGGAGAAATACAATACAGGAGCAAGCTCGCCTTGCTGCCCCTGAAGGCACCCCAATAAGAGGAGGGTGTTACTGGGAATAGAATGGTTTCTTTGGGTATGTTTTCACTGCAAAATTCACCCAAGCTCTTTCTCAGGTGTTACCCATAAACCGTGTCCCATCCACACATAAAACCCTCTTGGCTGAGTTTGGTGGTGCTTTCATTCCAGGCTAGCTGGCCTGGCTGGGGCTATAGGTAAGGCTAAAGCCTGCGTGAGGCTGTCACGCTGGCTGGTAACCCATGCACTCGACAGTGAGGATGCAGGCTGAAGTACACAAGTACTCTTTGTCCTCCAATGCTTTCCCCCAATTCTACCCCTCCCCCATATGCCCAGAAAGAAAAGACAGTTTCCCATATTTCACTGAGCAAGAACCATAGAATGGCTAAGCCTGCAGCAGCACAAAGAACCATGGGCTATGCCCCCAGAAGTCCTAGTGACACACATGGGTGAGTGCAGCATCAGTGAGGACACAGTAACACAGGCAGGGCTTTGCTCACACCCAGGCCAGATCCTCATACCTAGTAGCCCATCACTCAAGTTAACTCTCCAGTGAAGAGACACCCTTCATGCCTTGAACCAAGATGCATGTAGATGGAGAAAGAGTTATTTCCTCTGCTCTCCCAATATGTGCTAAAGGATGTAGGGAGAGCTCTTTTTCTGGACTCTCCTCAGCTCCTGGAAATGATTTTGGGAGACAGCTCACCCTGCCTCAGTGGGCTTTCATATTCCCAGGGAGAAGTGTAGGGGAAGCTTTGTTTCTAAGGGAAAGTTGAATATAGCCTTAATTATGGAGATGCTGCCACTTCTCCAGTGTATCTTATTTTAGCTTGCACTTTTTTCCTCTTAGGGCTCAATACTGCAATCACCTACTACCAAGTATAGTGCTTATTACCAAGAGGAGCCCCATAGGTTTTAAAGGGACTACTCATGGTAGTGCGTGGTTTTGTCACTGAGTTCTTAAACTATGACACCTTGAGACTGCAGCCTATCTATGAGTTCACAACCAAACCCTGTACTGAGTAAGAGGTGTTTATTAGCCCAGGATATGGTTATGACTTGGATGCAACCTTGAGTCACTATTAAGAGAATGAGATTGCTAATAGGTAGTATTTTTGATATAGCTGTGAAGTTGAGATGGTCATTCCCTATGTGGTAGCCACTAGGTTGATGAGTTCTGCAGGCAGTGGTAAAAATCAGAGTACAGAGATTTGTGTCCTGCACAGCTATTGAAATTTACTGTACAATTGTGGGTCCAGATGGTACAATATTCCTACTCTGACTGGCTGAGACCATTCTATTTCAAAGTAAAAAGATTGAAGGGCTGATCTTTTTGGGCACTTTTCTCTTCATAATGGTACGTTGAAATGCTGTTGGGAACTACATGGAGTACATGCACAGATGCAACTGATCCAAAGTGCAGTGAAGTCAAAAGAAAGATTTCCCTTGACTTCAATAGTCTTTGCATCAGGCCCATGGAGAGGAAACTCCATTGTTTTTAATATTATGTATCCTATAGGAAATACTGGGATCCTATCTCATATAGCTTATTGTATATACCCTAAATTCCAATAGGGTAAACTTTGATCTTAGATTGATTTTGATCTTTATGTGTGAAATAATACCCAAGGGGAAAAAAACTAGGTAGAAAACCTGACTGCAGGGTCTGTAATACTGAGAGGGAGAATGAAAACCAAGTAGCTGCGGAAGATCATGTAAATTTCACATAACTGGTTTAAATGGCTTTTAGTGTCTATGCAGAAGGAAATCTTCCAAGAAAAGCAATAGGGGTATTTTAAATCATGCTTAAAACTTGTGCACCATCTTTCTTTCCTTTTGTGTCTCCTAAGGCTCCATTTATGAAATGTTTGGAAATGAATGCTGCCTGCCAACCGGAGAATTGATTAAAATTACTGGGTTCAAAATTAATAAGATCATTGCAAGCATCTGCGAGAGTAATGAAGACAGCCAGTGCTCAGCCAGAATTGAATTGCCTCTGAATTTTCCAGGTACAGTATTTCATGAATATATGTTACTGAAGTTTTATAAACCCCATTATCACCTTTATCGGTTCTATTGTTTCATATGATGTTACATGACTGATGTCTGTTGAGGTACCCACTAGTACGCCAAAAAATACAGTTGTAATAGATGGCACTAGATAAAAGGAACTAATTTCTAAATTTTACCTTGCGTGACTCTCTCATGCCTGCATAAGAAATACTATTATTATTAAAAGTGGAGCTGGTAACACTGCTTATACCTAAGGTTGTCCACCAGAAGACTCATTATGATACTCTGTTTTCAGTTACTTATGACTCTGCCAGACTTCAACTGTTTGGGCTGAAATTTTCCATGCCAGGTGTCTTCTTCAGGCTAATATTTATTTATTTATTTTTAATGTCTGCAAAAATGGTTGAGCCATTTCTGAGAATGAGATTAGGGGAAAATACAGTGTTTTGCCACTGTTAAAAAAAAATTCTTACTACTGTTTGGCTGAGAAGTTCTGGTGTCTGTGCTTTGGATCAGGGACTTGAAATGTGGCAGGCGTGGCCCTTGCATCAGGGATGGATCTTGTGCTGCTTCTGTGGGGCAAAAACACCAACATTTGGCCAGCTCACACATGCTCAGAAGAGACTTGTTAGAGTTTGGCAGCTGCCAGGGCCGGCTCCAGCTTTTTTGCCGACCCAAGCGGTGAACCGGAAAAAAAAAGATAAAAGAAAAAAAGATAAAGCCGATCGGCGGCAGCTCAATCGTGCCGCTTCATTCTTCGGTGGTAATTTGGCGGCGGGTCCTTTGCTCCCTCTCTTCCTCTTTGGTGACACTTCAGCGGCAGCTCAAAGAGGAAGAGAGGGACTGAGGGACACGCTGCCGAATCGCCACCGAAGACCCGGATGTGCCACCCCAAGCACCTGCTTCCTTCTCTGGTGCCTGGAGCCGGCCCTGGCAGCTGCATTTCCCAAAGAGTCCATCTGTCGTGATCATATTCCAGCCCTTCATAGCTCCTACATGCCCATCGGACCGCACACACTCCATCCCAGAGCTGCAGGAGCTCAGCAAAACTTTCTCTGCAATTGCTACTCCCAGTTGCTATGGGCCGTTCTGGTGCCAGGAACCAGAACTAGAGCAGAAGCGGTAGCAGCGGCTAGGAGTCCTGGGCCCTTTAAATCACCGCCAGAGCCCTGGCTGCCGCTGCTACCACAGGGGCTCCAGCAGCCGGGCTCAGGCGGCGATTTAAAGGGCCTGGGTCTCTGGCTGCTGCGGGGAGCCCCGGTAGGGTGACCAGATTAGCAGTATAAAATATCGGGATGAGGGGAAGCAAAAAAAACGGGAGGGGGGGGCGGAGCAAAAAAAAAAAAGAGTTTAAAAGGGGCCTGGGGCATTAGCAGGCCCCGCGTGCTGCCCTCCCCGCGGAGCCTCCCGCCCCCCAGCCCGCCACGGGCATATGCGGGGCGTGGTGGGTCCGGGCGGGGGCAGCGCGGCGCGGGCAGGAGCCGGGTGGGCGGCAGGGGCCGAATCCCCGCTGCTGCCAGGGAGCCCCACGCCTCTCCCTCCCGCTCGCGGCTGTGGCTGCGGCTCCTTCCCGGCGGGAAGGAGCAGCTGGACGCGTGCCGCATGTGCCCGGGGCAGGCCGGGGGGCGCGTCCCGCCGGGAAGGAGCCGCAGCCGCCAGCGGGAGGGAGAGGCGCGGGGCTCCCCGGCAGCAGCAGGGATTCGGCCCACGCCCCCGCGCTGCCCACCTGGCCCCTGCCTGCTCCGCGCTGCCCCCAACCGGACCCACCGCGCTGCCCCACGGGCTGCAGGGCTGGGGCAGCCTCCAGGCTGCGCTCCTGGCCCCGAGGGTGCAGCGGCCCGGGCAGGAGCCCTCTGGCGTCTCCCTCCCTTGCCAGCTCCCCTTTGCCCGCCTGCCCGGGTGCCGGAGCTGACTCACCAGCTCCAGGATCCAGGCACCGCCGCCACCCCCTCCCTCCAGGCTTGCCCCGCCATGCAGCTGCAAGCCTGGGAGGGAGGAGGAATGCTGCGTGGTTGGGGAAGAGGCGGGGCCCGGGCGGGGATTTGGGGAGGGAGCCAATGGGGGACGGAGGGGGCGGGGGGGCATGAGAGCCAGCGCGGAGGGCAAAATTTCTTTTTTGTCCAGTGTCCCGACCAAACATTCACTGCCCAAGCCCCACTGCCGGAGCCCTGGGGTAGCTGCAGTGGCTGGGGGCTCTGGCGGCAATTTAAAGGGCCAGGGGCAGTAGCAGCGGCCGGAGCCCCGGGCCCTTTAAATTGCCACCCGAGCCCCTCTGCCAGAGCCCCTGGGGTAGCGGCGGCGGGGCTCCAGTGGTGATTTAAAGGGACCGGGGCTCCAGGCGCTGCTACCGCAGCGGAACCCCAGGCCCTTTAAATCTCCGCCTGAGCCCTGAGGTAGTGGCGGCAGCCGGGAGCACCCGGGGCTCCGTCAGCGATTTAAAGGGCCCAGGGCTCCACTGCGGTAGCAGCAGCCAGAGCCCCTGACCCTTTAAATTGCCCCTGAGCCCTGGGGCTCCCAGCCACCTCTGCAGCTGGTGTAGCTCCGGTGGTGATTTAAAGGGCCCTGGGGCTCCCAGCTGCCGCTACCACAGATGGAGCCCCGGGCCTTTTAAATCTTGATTTAAAGGGCCCTGGTATGTAAAGGTCCCGCCTCTTCCGGGTGAGGCCACACCCCTTCTGGTTGAGGCCCCGCCCCCTGCTCAGGACTCCGGTGTACTGGTAAATCCTTTAAGTTACTTTCACCCCTGGGCAAGACTGATATCAGACAAGGAGACGGGAGGAAGGGCACTGAGACACACTAGGCAAGTGGACTGGGAGACAGAGCTTGAAAATCTTGTGCTTTTTAAGTCAGTCTCATGCTTTTGGGGGTCTGACTTGAGTTTTAAATGAATAGGGCAGTCAGTACTGGCACTGGTTGAATTCAAGGAATCAAATTTACACTTGGTGTTAGAGAGTTGCACCCTTTTACACCAGAGCTGAATTTAATCCCAGGACTCTACTTCAGTCTTCAGGGAGATCTGAAAACTTGCTCAACCAGTCTATTTGAGAAAGGAACTCCAGTTCAGACAGGAAAGAAAATCAATTTCCATTGGAAACATAAATCCATTATGTTGAGCCTTGTGAGACTGACCTCATAGCTACTAACACCACTTTGCACGGTTACACCCTAGGGGGTGATGGGTTGTGCTAAACTCAGCAATGTAGAAGGTAACAATGAAGCCTCTTGTTAGTCTAAGAGAGAAAACGCATTATATACCTACATTTGGGATCTCTTCTGGTGTACATTGTACTGAAAGTTTGGTCATTAGTCTAATTTTTTTTCTTATCTAAAGAAAGATTCTATTGTAAAACACCAAACAGTCCCACTCATGACAATTATTGTTTGACTATACAATTTTTCCTTTTCTAAAATTCTAGTCTGAATGAAATTACCTTGAATGCTCTTGACTTACTCTCCCTCACAGCACATAAAAGTCTATGCTGTATTTGAGTTACAATTCCTTTTTAAAACTCTATCGTTGGCTTATTTTGGAAGAAACATTATTTAGTTCACCAGAACTCTCGTGCTGTGTTTCTAGCATTCGTCTGGCTCCCCGTGGAAAAGAGCAAACTTTTTGTAATGCTCTTTTCAAGTGCCATTCATTGTGAATTATCATTTGCACCCAATGAGCCTCCTTAACCTCTCGCTTTGTGCTGATGTAAATGAGGAGCAACTCCATCCAAGTTAAGAGAATTAGACTGGTAAAAAATTGATGCATTTGAGAGATGAATCAGGCCTATTGGCTTTAAACAATTTTTGCTCTTTTTCTTTGTGAACATTTCTAGTGTTTGTCTGCAGAACTCACTAGAACTCCTTATTTCTTTTCCTGGAAAATCTGATTCCCGATAAAGGCCTAATCTGACCCTGGTATTAGCAAAAACTACTGAAAACATGAGTTCATATCTGTTATTTCATTTTATCCTCATTCTAATTTGTTCGTTCATGCTTCAGAGGATCAGTCTATTCTTTCTGTGCTCGCACACTGGACAAAAAAAATCTTATGCTGTTACGTTAGTCGCTTGAATAGCTACATCCAGCAAATATTTCTGAGCTGCTCTTTTCATCATGAACAACTTGGTAAAGGCTGACAGATTTCATGACACCTGAACTTGGTCCTACTGTTAATGTTTTCTTTGTGCTCTTTGGTCTGCATAAATATTTGTAGATTCTCTGACTGCTCACAAGACCTGTAATAGTTTCCTTTAATAATAATCATGATTAGCAGTCTCACAAAAATAGGTTAGCATTGTTATCCCCCTTTTAGGTAAGGGGCAACTGAGGTACGTAGAGATGTTATTTGCCAAACATAATACAGCATATCAATGGTAGAGTTGGGATTAGAATCCCCAAGTCTAATTCTGGTTTCACTTATAATAGAGAAATGCCGCTGAGATGTGTGGAGGGCCTTGACCAATAAATTTGCAAATACATTCTAAACTTGTACTTTCCATTGCTTGTAACTTTTTCTCAGCCCCAAAAGTTCCCTTCTGGGAAATGTACATGCCTTGATTTCTGCCAAAATGTGATTATATTTAGAAAGTCTAAGTGAAGTTGATCCAGCCATTTTTTATTACACGGATGGAAAAAAAATATCTTTTGACACTTTTTTGCACTCAGCCTCCATGTCTGAAGTTTAGAAACTTAACTTTGTCATATGTCTCTTTCTCATGAGGAATTGTTGATATGTTAAGTATGAAAAACATCTGGATTGTAATTTATAATTATTTTAATAAGGTTCTGGATAGCCATGGATAACAGATTTAAAAAAAAATCCTGGTAAAAAAAATGAACAAATATATTAGAGCAAGCAAAGCATTATGAGAAATCATCAGCGCGTACAACACCAGCTAGAGAAGGATTACTGCTGTTTTCATTCTTCACACCAGAATAATTTTTTAAATATTTACCTCTTATCTGTAGCGAGAGAAACATATGGAACTTTACATACTCATAAACACAAGCAGGTGGTTACTAGGTACATTTAATTCATGGGCATAATCAGTATAGGATCAACATGCACAAGTCCACATGGTTCTTTAGCTGTCTGCTCGAGCATGCTGTTACCAAAATTAAAAAAACCATCAGAATGAAAGATAAAGATTTTTCTCCTTCCAACCCTGACAGAGCATGAACCCAAGGGGATAATCGGATCTTTAGTTTTGTATGATTAAAGTGTATTAATTACTGTTTCATATGAAACCTGCTTTCTGACATGAGGATATTCATCAGTTTCATGGTACCAAAACTGAATTCCAGATGGCTCATCAGTCCCAGGAAATTTAACATAGCACTAAGTTCAGTCTCAGATTGATAGAGGGGAAAGGGATCTCCTTATCTGTGGTGAATATCCTTTCCCACTCCCTATAGATTACCAAGGAATTCCCAGCCAGAGATGACTTTTAATCCTAGTTCATAAAGATACTCCTGAAGAGCATAGCTTTTGCCTTTGGAATACAACATATTGAAAGAGCTTGTATTTTTTCAACAACTTTTCATAGGAACGATATCCCTGTTCCCCTCAACCCCAACGTTTTCAGGGGGATAATGCCCCTCTTGCTCCTGCAGCCTACTTGGCTGGAACATTGGCTGGATGATTGTGTTGTTTTTGTAAGTTACTCACTCATCAGGATCACATCCCTGCAAACACCATATTTTTTTGACATACTATATGGAGATCTGCTTACTTGTAACTTCTTTAAATGCATGTCAATGGTGCCATAAATTCTAGTGACCCTTATTAAACCCTTAGCTATGTCACATGGTACTGAAATTAAGGGTCAGACCTTTGAAACCCCTTTCTGCTGCTCAGACACTGCAAGGCAACTGGAAAGCTACCCTAATGAGCAACTGTGGATTCGCCTTACCTAGGGGAATCCCCCTCAAGCACAGCCCTTCCTTAATGTTAAAACCAAGGTTTAATCACTATTAACTGACCCAATGCTGAACCCCATTTTTCTTGGTCTGCACTGACAACTAAGTTGTGGTCAGCATTATGTTAGCTAACTCAATTACTCACAACCATGTTCAAACATAGCCACGTTCTGTAGTGTACACAAGGTCCATATCTTAGCCATGTTTGTGCATCCACACCAACCATGCTGCTTAACCATGTTGGAATGAGGGCAGCTTTCCCACAGCGCTTCAGCCCTGGACAGAGTGCCCAGAGGAGATGTATACACAGAGGCACAGGAGGCAGTGAAATCTGGAATGTTTTAGTACACTGACAGCTGTGAAGACCTAGGATTCTAAAACCAGTTATACAGGCACTGTTAATGATTCCATCTCTCCATTAAACCAGACAGCTCCTTACCATGCAGGTTTCTGGCAAGGACACACTTTTGTTAGTTACCATAGGTGCTACTGGAGTAGTAATCATGTTGTATGTGGATACAATCCATGCTTAGAGCCAACCATGCTCCTAACTGGTTATAAACTCAGTTACAAGCTGTAGTGTACACAGGATCTTAGTGAAGCTCCCTTTAGAGTGAAAGGCAATAAGTGCTATACACACATTGCAATGTGAAGATTGCAGTTTGTCATAGTGAAGCAATGATCACACTGAAGTGATTCTGTGACAGAAAGGACTTCATGTTTACGCTAGATCTTTGGCTGAGCACACAAGGCTGTAATTGGCTCATTACCCCCACCTGGCTGTGTGAACTGACTGCATGCTAAGACTGACTTTGGAGAGTATCCATCTGGTGCTTTCAAGAGGATGGGCACAGAGATTGGGCGGGGGGGACAACAGCACCTCTTGTGTGGAAGGGAGGTGCAGAATCACTCAGGAGGTGGGGAACTCATGGAAATGCACTCCCCACTGTGCCAAGCTGCCTTGTCTGACTCCCTGTCCCTTCTTTTTCTCCATAGCTGGGACAGTGGGCATTTCATCTTAACCATGGGATTGAAATACCTCTTGTGTGGTCCCAACAGGAAGTGGGAAGAGATGGGCTGGGGAAGGCTCGTGAGCTGAGCTTTTGGTCTGGTTGGTTGTGTTTTTTGTGGGGAGGAAAGAGCCTTGCTACCTTATTGGGGGAGGATGGCCTGATTCTGAGGGTGCACATTTGCTTGCAATTACCACTTAATTTGGACTGACGCATATTTTGCAGCCACAACCTATGTGTTTGCTTTTGAAAATTTGGCCTAGAATAACCTATTAAACTTAGTTATAGTTTCTGGGAAACTGGCCTTTTGCTATGGCTGGCCAAAAAAACTGCAGTATAACTATTATTTAAGTGTCTGTATGAGGCAATGTTATCACTGCTGAATCTTGTGAAAAGATAGCTTAATCACACAGCTCAACGAAACCCCACTGTTCAGTTCTCTAAACTGTCCGTTTCATCTAGGAAAACACTCACAAATATATAAATGTACATGTTTTTCTTGCTGTATGGACTTCTAATAAGACAGCTCCCAAGGGCATGATTAACATGAATTAATAGTGCCCCTAGGGATTAGAGAAGCACATATGCAGTCTCTGCCTTGTAATACTTCAGAGTTGCAATTACCTCATGATAAACCATGCTGCTCTAGTGCCTAAATACTGGTGTCATCCATCTAGTGGCCTATACTATTAATCATGCTAAGGCACATTCTTCTCCCTTGCTCTTATAATCCAGTGGTGGGGTTGGTTGTTTTAATATAGATCAATATTTACTCTATAAATCACTGAACTGCGTGAAAAAGGATAATTAGTGTGAACATTTAGGACCAAATTCGTTTTTTGTATAAGTATGTGAAACTACACTAAGAACAATAGAGTTGCACGTGCTTACACCAGCTCTGGATTTGTCCCATAAGGCTTAGTTTTCATGATCAGGTGTGAGGGGGGCAATAGATGCAATTAACCAATTTGCCTTTTTGTAGTAGCAAAGAAAATGATTATTATTATTTTATCCTGCATGTAAGAATTGGTGGAGGATGCTGGAACTAGAAGTGTCTTATCTGGGCTTGGGGAGTAAAAGTATTGCTTCTAAACTAAGAGAAGCATCATCTACTCTTTGTGCTGTCCATCCTTCAAGCTGGCATAGAGCATGGCAAGTTCAGCCACTGATAGTACAGTTCCTAAGGTGACATGAATGTCTTGGGATCTGTTCTCCGGACTTCCCATTTCCCATGGGGCCTCAGATGGGATTTGGAGGTTGCACCCCCCAACCCGTTCCACAAGGGCACAAATCCTGCTTCTAAGAGAGAACACTTCATCAGAAAGTCCACAAGGTTCTCTGTTTACGCCTCACTGTAGTGCCTGAGCATTTTAATTCTCTTTTTCACTTACTGCTGGTTTTATCATGGGAGGGTTTCTTTTGTTAACATGAAGATGTTGGTAAAAACTCTGATTTCCTATCTTAGAGGCATGTATCAAGTCTGTCATAATCCTCTGTGGTTTACACTCCAACTGTACCAGTAGCAACAGAGTGTGATAATATTTCAGTGATCAGCAAAGAAAAGAAAAAAACAGAGATGAAAGGGAATACTGTCATTGGATCAAATGTTGTGAAGAAAATTTTAGACCTTGCTCTACCTTGGAAACCTGAATGTGCTTAACTTTGAAGTCATTGACTGTGTAAAGTTAATCACATGTGTACATGCTGGAAGGGTTGGGGTCTTAGTGTAGTGATGGTCAGAAAAGTGACAATATAAAAATGTTTTTACTCAACGTTGTTTTTTTTGTCTGTCACATCAGCTCACTTTACTGAAGGGGGGGGAAAGTGTTTACTCCTGCACACTCTGCAAAACCAACATAGCTATTGTAGATGAAGCAGGATTCTATTCTACGTCATGAATCAACAAAACTTCAGCTAAATTCCACTTGCATAATCGTCATTCCAGGTGGAGATGCAAAAGCCTGAAAGAACACTTGGGCTATATAGCTATGTCACTAAATGACATCATCTCCTTTCAGTTTTGTTTGCTGCACCATTTAATGTAGAAGAAGCTCCTGTGTGTTGCAGTGGTAGTGCCATTTTGTATTTCACCTCAGCTATGCAACATTATAGAATGAGAGACTGTTTTCTCTCTCTCACACTTTCTCCCATTGAGACTTTATATTCATTCTTTCCTGTTTGTTGTTTTCCTTAATCTGAAATGAAAATAATTTAGATTGAAAAATACTTCTTTGTGCATTGAAAACCTAGCAGGATGCTGCTTGATTTTCACATCCGAGTTGATTTTGCAGGGTGGTCAGTTAGAAAAATTATCTTTCTCTGTATTTTGAACATATTTGCAATGAAAGCTGTTAAGAATTTAATTTACACATGCGCAAAGGGTCAACACAGTAACTATGCATCATTTAAGTCCCATTTAAACTCTAACATTCAGATTTAAGTGGGACTTAAGTGATGCACAGGTCTTGTGCTGGCTGGCCTTCTGCACAGGTTTGAATGTCATCCTCAGAGAATAAGTAGTGAAGCTTCATGATTCTGTTTTCATAGAGCCACTTTTCTGACAATACAACCACGCTTTAAATGAGATTTTGTTTTGTTTTGATTTTGAGTTTTTTTATTGGCTCCATGGGTTCATGAACTAAAAGTTGATGTGACAGTGAATGCTTGCATATTTCCCAAGTGCCCTTGTATAATACAACATTCGTGTTCTTAGGTCTTTGTAAGATTGTGGCTGATAAAACTCCATATCTCAGCATTGAAGAAATCACAAGAAAGGTTTCTATTGGGCCAACGCGACTGGGCCATCCTTGCTTCTATTGCAACAAAGACATAAAATTGGCAAATTTCACCATCAAACAAGGTGAGCAGATCATGTTCAACTCCGTGGAAGAGGTCAACGGGACACTGACTGTGAACTGCGGAGTGGTAAGAGATAACCAGTCTCACTCCTTTACTTTGCCACTCTCACAAGAAGGAGAGTTCTATGAATGTGAAGATGACCATATTTACACCCTGAAAGAGATTGTTGAATGGAAAATCCCAAAAAGTAGAAACCGGATTGTGAAATTTACCAATATGTTACATACGTGGGACTCCTCTAATCCACTTCCTGAGAATTTTGATGGCTGTCTGATTCTAGCACCGATCTACGAAGTACAAGGAGTGATGAAATGTAAGTAAAAATCTAAGTTAATGAGCTGTACCTCTGTGCCTAGCAGCGTGTTCTAAACTGAATGCAAACTGCTCAAAATATCTGTTACAGACAGTGCTTGTTTTGGATAGGTAGAAGATGGGTATTCCATGACCATATTTGCTATTGCTGCTAGTTTAAAAATGGGGAAAGAAGGGGAAGAATTTTTCTCCTTCTTCCTTCATCTCTAATTCAAATACTGACTCCATATATTTTTATTACAATCTGCTATTATCATTTTTACATGTACTACTACTATTAAATTATCTTTAGAGAGGAAACTTTTTCCCAAGCAGATAGAGCATAGAACTAAGAGTTCTGGGTTCTATTCCCAGAAACTCTTATTGACTAACTGTGTTACCATGGGGCAGTCATTTAATGTATGGCTCTATTTAGCCATCTGTAAAATAGATATAAAGGTAAGTATCTATGTCACAACAGTGTTAGGAGGCTTAATTATAGTTTGTGAAGTGTGTAGAGATACTCTTGCACATGGTGCTATCTGAATACAAAGGTGGTATTATTATTATATTACAGAAGCCAACATAGGGCTTGTCTTCACTGCAACAATTAGCTCAAATTATTACACTTGAGTTACTCTGCCTGAGCTAGCCTAGCTTGAGTGAGAGCCAAGTGACTACACTGCAACTACCCAGAGTGATAGGATTAGCAGCTGATGAGATGTAACTTGAGCTTCTGCATCCCCACTACACTACTAGCTCCAGCATCAGCAGAAAGTGAGTTTCAACTCACTCCCCTGATGGGCCAGCTAGCTTGAGTTTAAAGTAGTGGCTCTCAACCAGGGGCGCACATACCCCTGGAGGCATGCAGAGGTCTTCCAGGGCGTACATCAACTCATCTAGATATTTTCCTAGTTTTATAACAGGTTACATAAAAAACACTAGCAAAGTCAGTACAAACTAAAAATTCATACAGACAAAATGAGAAAGTAAGCACTTTTTCAGTAATAGTGTGCTGTGACACTTTTGTATATATCTCTGATTTTGTAAGCAAGTAGTTTTTAAGTATGGTAAAACTTGGGGTACACAAGACAAATCAGATTCCTGAAAGGGGTACAATAGTCTGGAAAGGTTGAGAGCCACTGGTTTAAAGCACCAAATAACTTGAGCTAGAGATTTTTGTGTGCCTGCAGTGACCGGGTTAGGAACAAAACTTGAGTTCTATCCTGAGCTAACTAAAATAAAATTAAAAAATTCACAGACTATTTTTTAAAACGCCCATGAAACAGGAAAGAATAAGTGAATCATTTCTTTAAGCACTTAAAAATTGTTGTGTGTGTATATGTACGCATGTATGTAATTTTTGTTTGTAAAAAGGATTGATTTTGTTCACTGCAAGATACTGGACAGTCAAGATTTTTCAGCTTTTCCATGAAGAAAATTACATTTTTAGCCCTAGACACCACAAGGGCTTATGCAAACACTTGACTTTGTTACTTAGAGTGGACTAATCATAGCAGTAAAGTTGAGCACATGTGCAAGTATTTGCCAGATTGGTGCCTAATTTCCTGCAAGGTTTTTCTGCCTTATGCCTGTATCAGAGACAGCTCCATGAAAATGGAATCATATTAGTACACCTCTACCCCGATATAACGCTGTTGTCGGGAGCCAAAAAATCTTACCGCGTTATAGGTGAAACCGCGTTATATTGAACTTGCTTTGATCCGTCGGAGTGCGCAGCCTCTGCCCCCCCACCCCGCCCCCCGGAGCACTGCTTTACCGCATTATATTCAAATTCGTGTTATATCGGGTCGCGTTATATCGGGGTAGAGGTGTATGTCATTCAGCAGCATGTTTTGCAAAAAACCCTTTTACAATGGATATTTCTCTTGGCTAAAACAGAGGACAAGGAAAGAAGGATGGGCAGCAATTGTTTGTGCAAGACACAAAATTTGTTAAATGATTAATTGGAGATATTCCATCAAGTCCAATATCCAGCTAATAGGCTTAATGTGTATCTTCACATGCTAAAATACTCCATTTTTCAAAACTGTGGCTGGATTCAGTGGTTTGCACCCCAATCCTGCAATCCACATAGCTGTATCCCAATGCCCACTTAGATCCAAACTGTAGGATCAAAGCCCTAAGTAAAAATAGTTTAGTTTCCTAAAAAACTACCAGATGGTTGTGAGATAATGTGAAATATGCACTTGCCTATCAACTCTACATCCTGATGTGTGCCTTACTTGTTTTTATTTGTATTCACATATATGTTTTTCACAATGCGTTCAATATGTAAACAACATTAAATGTCTCCTAAATGTTGATTTTAGAAATGAGTCACTCTGCACATGGTTAACTGTTTACTTGTGAACTGCAAAAAATGGATCCTCACTGTTTGTTAGAAAACAGTGAAGCTCTCTCTCTAGATTTTAAATGAAGTAAGGCAAACTCGGTTCTCAATTAAAAGATCACTGATAAGAGAGTGGTTAATTACATTTTCAGAGGCTGTGGGCAGGAGCTATACATGTGTCCATTCCCCCCCGCCCCCAACAATAACTAGATTGATGTATGTAACTCCCTCCGCAGCTCACAGAAAATGTATCCATTTGTAGACTATTGTTTTAATTCTCACTAATCACCCTTAGTTTGGCAACATTTCTTCACCCTAGTCAAAATGTTTGGCTCCTGAAGATGATAATATGACGAGGGCAGAGTGTGCATGCACATGCTGACCAGCTGTCATAAATTCTTATTATATAAAATGTACATTAAGTACTGAGTTTAATGAGTGAAGAATTAGTATATCATAACACATGAAGTATAAATGTAGGATCTGCTATGCAGCATGTGTATGTATGTACAATAAAAAACTTAATGAAGGAGGCCTTTAAATAATGTTCCTGTGTTAAATTACACCATCCTGAGAACTTGTTTATAATGAAAATAGCTAGGACCAAATTTTCAAATAGTATCCTCAATTTTGCACCTGTAATTACTAGCACATACAATTTTGCAAGTGCAATTATAAGACCATAGGAATTGCTGTACGGGATCAGATCATCTAGTGCAGTATCCTGTCTCTGACAGTGGCCAGTACTCGATGCTTCAGAGGAAGGAGCAAATAGTGGACAATTCTGGGATAAGCTAACCACGTACCCTGGAACATGAAGGTTTATATCTCTTCTTTTAAAAAAGCAGTATTGGTTTTTATAATAGTTAGTAAAAACAACAAGGAGTCTGGTGGCACCTTAAAGACTAACAGATTTATTTGGGCATAAACTTCCTGCTCTCCATGTGTCAGTATATAATGCCTGCATCTGTAACTTTCACTCTATACATCTGAAGAAGTGAGGTTTTTACCCACGAAAGCTTATGCCCAAATAAATCTGTTAGTCTTTAAGGTGCCACCAGACTCCTTGTTGTTTTTGTAGATACAGACTAACACGGCTACCCCCCTGATAATAGTTAGTGTAATTGTAGATGTTTTCATTATCCATATTAATGTCAACACCTTTTTTAATCCTGCTAGTTTTTGGCCTCAGTGACATCTTATGGCAATGAGTTCTGTTAGTTCATTATGAACTAAATTTATTCCTGTTCAATTGGTATTATTACAGAAGGTAAACTGGGGCACTTTATTGAGCTTTTCTGTACATTTTGTTATTTTGTGTACCTCTATTGTCTCATCTCATTTATCTCCTCTTCCATTAGATGTCTAACTGCCTAATTGCTCCTGCAAATGAAATAGACATTTTAAATTATAATATTTGCATTGATAATTGGTTTACACTGGCAAAATTGTGGACACAATTGTTGTACAATATCTTAGAGGGTTTTTTAAGTTGTCTCTTGGAGTGTGTCTATTTCATTACAACATCAGTGTGAAAACAAAAATTGACTTTTACCTTTTTCCTTTCAGTTCGAAGGGATATAGTTCATATCCTCTCTGATCTAGACATTGAAGTCATAGATGTAACAGACTCTTATGATATTAGCTGTTTCCTTCAGCCATTATCCATGGAAGATGTATTTGAAAGGACAAGCAAAGAATTTCCTATGGTTGCTGAGGTAATAGAAGGGCCCACAGGAAGACAGCAACCTTATAATTTATTATGTCCTGGGAAAGAAATTGTCATTCACAAAAAGTACCAGGCAAAAAGAATCCTTGCATCTGAGATCAGAAGTGATTCCCATAAAAGACACTTTTTAATTCCTGCCAGCTACAAAGGAAAGTTCAAAAGAAGACCTCGGGAGTTTCTAACTGCCTATGACCTGGAGATAGCAAGAAGTGACAAGGAGCAGCTTCATGTTGTAGCAACTAAAGCTTTTGATTCTCCCCATGCAGAATTGTTTTCTGTTTCTGTTGGAGACCAGTTTCTAGTTCAACAGCGCCAGACCGGAGAAGTCATATATCAGGGAAGGAAGAAAGTGATAGATGTTTTGGCCTGTGAACAAATACTAAGTGAGGCCTATAAGAAAGTGCTTCTTCCTATGTATATGGAAGGTGGCTTTGTAGAAGTGATTCATGACAAGAGACAGTACCAGCTTTCAGAGCTTTGCAAAGAGTTCCGCTTGCCCTTTAATGTCAAAGTGTCTGTGAGGGATCTCTCCATTGAGGAGGATGTCTTGGCTGCTATGCCTGGACTGCAGCTTGAAGAAGAAACCACAGACTCTTACTTGCTAATCAGCAGTGCTGGCGATCCTGCGGACAGTTGGGAAATTCCTGTGTATCGTCTAAATATGTCTGTTCAGTTGCTCAGCAAATCTGTTGCTGAAACTGTATCCTCCCCAACTAGGACCATTGTGGAAGAGATCAGTGAAGAACAATATTACATGGTGAGGAGATTTGAAAACCAAGCCCTACACCCACCACCCAGACCTCCCAAAAAGCCAACAACACTGGAATCAAAACCTCTTCTTACTCTAGCAGAACGAAGTGTGTCGGATGCACCGCATGCTGTGAAGGTAGGACATTTCTTCTATTATATATCCTTTGGCATATGTTTGAGATATTTCACAATCTGCTTCCATTTTATGTTGGCTTGTGTTTTATGTTAAACTCATTTATCTTCCTGCAGCGTTTGAGATGGCAGTGAACCCCACAGGATAGACAAATGAGCTGCTAGAACTTAACATTGAGGGCTGAATCCTCCGTTGGTGTAAACTGATCTGTTGAAGATCTGGCCCTAGAGCTTTGGAGTTGAATAATCCTTTGTTGCACTGGTGTATAAATGAGGGGACAATTTGGGCTATTACAGCTAAATGCTTAAAAATGGGAAATACATGTTGATTCGATACATTAACAGAGAATTTGGTTCAGATAGAGATCACAGAATTTGTATTGGAAATTTACACACAGACATTCTACAGAGATATTTTTGTTCTGAATATTTTGCATTGTATCCAAATATTAAAAAGATTTTTGAATGGAAAGTATTGATTTTCATAAAGCTACTGAAGTTTCAATATTTCACCAAAGCAAAGAGCACATACAAAAGTGCCCATTATAGCTGGACAAATACTGGAGTATTTTTAGTAGCAGTTAACCCATAACAATTGTGCTTGTCATTGGTTTTCTTCTATATGTTGAAAGAGCTATATATAGAAAGGTGACTTGATGAGGACTCAGCAGGGAAACAAGTACAGGGCCTGCTCAGACTATGTGTGTATCTCTAGTCACAGCTCCCATTCCCCTCTCACTTTCCTGTTCAAATACAAATCCACCAAAAGAAAAAAAAAATTAATTTTACATTCATTATTAATGCAGTTGAGTCTCCTGAATGTGACTAGTTACATCTTGGTAACTATGATCCACTTGGAACGCAAGCAGGAATTGATGTTTACATTTTTTTAAAAAATAAGGGCCATATTGTGCCTTTTGCATCCACGTTTGGAGGGGAACATCTTTGCGCCTCTCCCCTCATGTGCTGAATGTTATTCACCTCTGTGGCAGCAATTTTCTGTCTCTGTTCCTAGGACAGAGAGTTTTCCATGGGCCTGAGGATCCATGCAGAAGTAGCAAGCAGGCCCAGGGAGAAGTGGATGGGGGGAAGATACACATTGTTTTGATACCAGTCCTGTGGAATCCTTCAGATACAAGTATTAAATTAAGAGGCTATGCTGATTTCCTCTGTCTTCCCTCCAAGCTGGTGAAGCCCTTCACTGACCGTTTTTGGGGGGGGGGGCGGGGGGGTTGAGGTTGAGGGGGGGCTCGCAGCCAGCTGCTGGCGGGGGAGAATTCCTAATAGCAAGGACCCATTAAGCCATGCTGCCAGCTAGTGGGGACATATAGAAGGCATGGGTTCCAGAATTGGTAGAGAGGCCTGAGGCTTGTGTGATGTTGTGGTCTGAGGTACTGGATGGGAACCCAAGAACTCTTCCCGAGGTCTATTTCATAGGCAACTGAACCACCAATCGGAAGGAGGCAGACTGCCCACTGGTACCAGTGGGTATGTGTGTGAGAACTATGAGCTGGTATCTGACTCTGGATTAGTATTGTGCAAAAGATGTTATTTTACTGCAGCTAGGAGGAGGCAGTTAGAATAACAGAGATACATTATGGTTCATTTGTACATTTGTGAACGATTGCAACCGTAGACTTCAAATACTTGGATATAGAAACACATTTAAGCAAATGACATTTTTATGAAAGCTTGCAATAAATAAATAATAAATTAGAGTCAAAATGTTACCTCTGTACAGATTTGTAAATTCTCTTTTCCTGGAAAGGTGAAACAAGTAGCTATCCCTTATTCATAAGATTAAACCCCCAAGCTCTAATATAATTGATTTAGAGTCAAACAGAATGTATTATCTCTCCATCCTGAACAGAGAGAGGCCTTTGAGAATACCTGGATCTGCTCTGATGTTTTCCTGCTTTTGCCCATGTGATGATTATAGTGGTGGTGGCGGGGGGGAGGGGCGGGAGGCTACAATTTTCTTCTGAACATACCTGCTAAGTCTGAAGGTTCAGAAATTTGCCCAAATGATAAATGGTCTAATCTGCATATTTTATGACACTGCATTGCCTCATTTGCATAAATGACTGCAAACATCCAAATGAGCAGAACATAAATCCAAGAAGGTTGATGCATGGAATGAACTTTAGGATCATAGGAATTGCCTTGCTCCTAACTGGCTCTGGCATCTCCCCAGCTGATGTTCAACTAACTCTGGCATCTCCTGGAGGCTCTGTCCCTGGTTGCTTCTTGTCCTCATCTGGGTGAAAGGCTGTCTTTTGGTCGGTGGCCCTGGGGCTAGGTGCTGCTGCCTTGCAAGGGAGATCTGGTTGCTTCCTGCCATCAGCTGGTCATGCTCTGGTTGGGCTGATAGCCCCTAGCTGGGAATTCACTTTGATTGCTCCTTTACCCTTTTTCCCTGGCAGGAGGGAAATAGAGGAGGCTCTAACTGCACCTGCCTGCTGCTTCCTGACTGGGGTGAAATCATAGAATCACAGAAATATAGGGATTGAAGGGACCTCAAGAGGTCCTCTAGTCCAGTGAAAAGAGAGGCTTACAAGAGGCCAAAATCTATAGCTATAGGAAAATACTCTATGGCTGGAAAACCATCCTTCCGCAATAGACGTGGAATTATGTAATAAAATAAATAAAAGGAAAAGAATGATAAAAATACAAGATATAGCAAATCAATATATCTGTGATAAGTGTGGACATTACTGTCAAATGTATATTGATGGCTCCAAAGAGGAAGCAACAGGTAGAGTGAGAACAGCTTTCTGTATGCCTGCATTTGGACTCAAGAAAGCCAGAGGGCTAATTAACATGATCTCTGTCTTTATGGCTGAGCTAACACTAAGTTGGACCTAGAATGTATGGCCAGCTGCCTTTCTGCCTGATTCCTTATCAGGATTGTAGGCACTATACAATGGCAAGTCTGACAGCAGAAATAGGGTGACCAGTAGAAAGTGTGAAAAATTGGGATGGGGGTAGGAGGTAATAGGCGCCTATATTTTAAAAAAAAAAAAAAAAAAAAAAAAGCCCCGAATATCAGGACTGTCTCTATAAAATCAGGACATCCGGTTACCCTAAGCAGAAATGATATACTTAATGAAATATTGCTGCTAACAAACAAATTGGTGCAATGTGATGTGACTGTAGTAATAGCATGGATCCTGGCACATTTAGGTTTTGCTGGCAACACATAGGCAAACAAAGAGGCAAAAAATGCTATTGAGCATGAACAAGTTGACTTAGAGATCCCATTAAGCAAATTGAATTTACACACTTAATCAAAAATGAGATAAGGAAGGAATGGCAGGAACTTGTGGCCACGTGAAACGAAGGCGGGGGGGGGGGGGGGGGGAGGAGGGAATCTGTGAAGTATGCCCAATAGTTGAAAATGTTTATTTAATCCAAGGACCTGAGAGGAAGAGTGAAGTGGCTCTATTCAGAATTTTAACAGGTCATTGTGGATTAAATAGTAATCTATTTCTAACAAACAAATTTAAGGATGGATTTAAGGTCCGAGAAACAATAGATCATCTCTCATGGATCTGTAAAGACTGTACCAGTAAAAGGAGATATTTATACGGAAAACTCAGAAACCTTGGAGTAATAAAATTTTCTTTGCAACACCTGTACAGAATGCAAGGAAAATGGGGCCCAATTAAAAAAGCTATTCTGCAATTTTTAATCGTCCTGGGAAAGGTGACAGACTTTGTCATAACCTGTCTATGAAATCCTGTGGAGAGCAGTCATAGACTCAGGAAGTGAGCCTGCACAGAACCGAAGGAGAAGGGGCCTGGCTGGGGCAGCTAGTGGAGAGAGGAGGTGGTGGCTGAGGATGGCGGAGAGAGAAGGCTGGCTGGCAGGCAGTTGAGGAGGAGGCAGGGTGGAGGACTACAGCTGGCCCCCAGGTGAAATGAGGCTGAACATTGAACCTGACAATGGAGGTCGGTGGGGAAAAAGAGAAAAATTGTCTTGGATTATGAAGGAGAAAAAGCAAGGGATGAGGGATGGTCTCAGATCAGGAAAAATTAATATATATATATATATATCAGGTATGAAGAATAAGGGATTCATAGAAATGAAAGAAAAAAACAGGATAGAAGTCAGCATTTTATAATTGTCAGATCAGAGATAGAAGATGTGAAAGCAGAGGATGTTAACCCCCTGAAAATGGCAGAATGGATAAAGCGAAGTGTTGGTGTCATTCAAAGAGCTAAAAGAATTGCTGGGTGGCGATCTATTGATAGAGTGTACGCATAAAGAGCAAGCTGAAAATCTTCTAAAAACTGTAACCTTCGGGAAAATGAAAGTTACTTCTCAACAAAATTCCTGATTGAAGTAAGAAGGGTTATGTTTGAAATGCTACAAGGATTATCTGAGGATGATATCTAAAAGAGTATAGGTGAAGATAAAGTATTGTTTGATAAAAGGCTACTTAGTAAGGGCGGGGGGTGGGGGGGAAATGCCATCTACCACTGTACATATAACACTTAAAAGTAGGACACTTCCCAGTAGGATCCAAATGGATTATCAATCTTTTGGGGTTAAACCACATATTTCTACTCAGTGGCGTAGCCAGCTTTTAAGAGGAGGGGGAGCAAACCTAAAAAAGGCGCCCTCCCCCCCCTTGGCTCCTCCGGCTGCACCGCTGACCGCCCCTCCCCCCGCTCCTCCGGCCACCATGCTGCGCCCCCCCACTCCTCCAGCCGCGCGCCCGCCGCCCCCCCATGGCTGCCGGCCGCGCTGTGGGCGGCCAGCCTATGCCCCCCCTCGCTCCTCCGGCCGTGCTGCGGGCGGCCAGCCTGCGCTCCCCCCTCGCTCCTCCGGCCGGCGGCCGCCTTTGGGAAAAGGGGTGAGGGGAAGCGGCTGCTTCCCCTGCACCCCGCTAGCTACGCTACTATCCTACTCCCCGCACCTCTGGTGAGGTGCTTTAATTGTCAAAGGTTTGGATGTATGCCAGCCATTTGTAAGGGAACAATGTGGTGCAGTAAGTGTGGA